ATTATCACAAAATACACCTCAGTTGTACAAAGCAAGACACTCTCTCCTCAGCCATCCTGCCACTGCCTCACTGCGTGACTAAGATCTTTTTCATCGTCGCGTAGTGGGATTTAGGAATCATCAAGCTGGTTTAAACGACTCAACAACTTTCTCTGGCCTGTTGCACAATAGCAGTGTGTAGAGCACTGAGTCAGTTGGAGAAAAGACAACAGGTCTTAAGCCAGGTGAATAAGAACCACATTAATAATTGCGGCCCTCAAACTGTATGTTTAGTGCATGTTACAATGAGCAGTTAACTGTCGTGAGAAACCGTCCACTGGGAAATTGGCAAAGGTTGCACAATTTTTTCCAAAACTGCCACACAACAGCAAAATTGGAATATCCCAAAATTGTGAACTTTCTCAAAGTCCCTTCCACTTCTACAATGGACTTTTGGCTTAGACAGACCTAAGCAGCCTTGGGTAAAGGTGATGGTTAATAATTATTGAGCACTGTTACAGTAGGCAATGTGCAAAGTTCTTGATATGTACCAACTCAGTCCAAACCTCAGCACAACCACTCAATGTAAGAATTATTAACCCATTCCATGGTGAGAAAAGTGAGGCCCAAAGATGTTATAGCAAGGTGCCAAGATTCTGCAGCTCCTAAGTGACAAAGTCCATGGTGAACCAAGCAGTGCACTTCCGAATCTATGCGCTAAACTTGTTGTTGTGTGCAGTCATGTGTGTGGAGGTATTTTGGGGTTATGGACTGGAGGTGTGGAGGGCTTTGAGGACTTTCTATGGGCTGTAAATAAAAAAATGAATCCGACTATTGAAATCCAGGAGTTTCAAAGAGAGTTAAATGATGATTTTGCTTCCAACAGTTTACTTATAACTGGCTTCGTTACTCTTTCTCTTGACTTCTTTCTCCTTTTCTGTGAATTGATAACTAAGGAAGGGTGGCCGCCGTGCTGGCCAGCCTCCTGTGCTGAACAGTGTGAACATGTGTAAGTGGAGCTGAGAGGTACCAGAGGGAGGCGTACATATGGTGAACTTTCAGATTTCAAAGTAAAATATGCGAAGCCTAGTTCCATTCTTTTACCATATTGATGTTTTTCAAGTTACATCTGTTATTGTTTTTGTCAAGGACAGACCTGACTGTACTATGCTTTCTAGTAGCCATTTTATAAAAAGTTATAATAGTAAAATATACTCATTATAACAAAAAGTAGAGCAATACAGATTTGTATAGATCAATAATGCTTCACTTGGATCATCCTATTTAAATGTAAACATCAATCCACAAAAGTACTGGAAGAAAATATTGGTGAATTTAAATAATCTTGGAGTAATAGGACATTAGGCATAAAATAATCAGTGATGATAAAACATCGATACTTCCTCTTAAAAAATATATCCTAAAAAACTAAAAGAATCTCAGTGGGGATTTAGATCAGTGGCATAAATGCCTGCCTGACAAGTGCAAAGTCATGAGTTTGATCCCTGGTACAAAAACAAAAAAACAAAACAAAACAAAAATAAAACTAAAGGAATCAACATAATCTGGTGGGCAAATTTAAAATACCTGTAATAAGTAGCTCTTTTAAATAATATACACAGAGCTAGACGAGGCTGCACCCATCTGAGTGAAATCCCAGCTGAGAGGCTGAAGCAGGAGGATTGCAAGTTCAAGGTCAGCCTGGGCAACTCAGTGAGACTGTGCCTCAAAATAAAAGAAGAGTCCCTGAACACTCTGAATTCAATTTACGCTACTGAAAAAAAATTATTTCAAATTAGTAAGAGAGTTATAATTAACAAGAAATTTTGCAAATAATATGAATATTTTATCAAAAAAGCACATAAAATGCTTTGACTTCATTTAAAATACTAGTACACTAAAGAAATATAATCATCTGATGAGCAAAGATTTAAAGTTTTTATAGTGCCCAGTGCTGGCAAGGATGTGAAGAATTTATTTTCCCAACACTGAGGCAAAATACCTGACACCTGCAATTTATGGAAGGAGAGGTGTTTTCAGCTTCATTTTCAGAAGTGTCGAGTCTATGATTGGCGGGATGAAAGGCAGGAACAATATTCATGGTGGAACAAAGCTGCTCATTTCATGGAGAACAGAAAGCAGAGTACAGGAGAATAGTACCATCCACAGATGCACCCTGAAAAGGCACCAGCCCGCGACGCATCTCCTTAGGTCTCACTTCTTAAAAGCACAGTCAGCTCTAAATCCATTGATAGGTACAGCATCACAGTATCCAATCACATCTCTAGAAGTCTCTACATTCAATCAAATTAATAATTAAGATTAATTGGCACTGTATGCTCTTGTAATGGAAGTATGAATGGAAAGCTACATAGTGGTGTTCATAAACATTTTAAATTCTTTTTTTTTTGATCTAGCACTTCTATTTGGAATTCAATCTGTGTATATATATTAATACATATACATCAGATTACATATGCCATTGTACCACTGCTTATGTTAGGAAGAAACTATAATCTGAGTATTTTTTAGCAAAGAAAAAGATAAACTATTTCCATTCCACCAAAAGTCCAGTATTTACACAGTGAAGCAAAGTTAAATGCGATTACTCAGCTGGGCATGACAGTACACACATATAGACCTAGCCACTTAGGAAGCTAAAGCAGGTGAGTCATTTGAGTCAAAGTGGTCAAAACCAGCCTGGGCAACACCGTGTGATTCCATCTTTTCAACAAGGTGTTTACTTGGAAAAGTGTTCAGGATACATGATTTAGTAGAAAAAGTAATTTGCAATACAATACAATACGTAGACAATATGAGCCATTTGGGTCTGAGTGTTTTATAGTGTACCGGTGTCAGTAAGGATGCTTTGTTGAAAGTGAACAGTTAATTATGGAGTTTATCAGATTGGGAGTATAATGGTCAGTTTGTATTAGGATTGGCCTAATGCAGTGGCTTGACTTGGTTTCCATGATTCTCCCAGCTCAGGCTCCTCAGCTTGCTTCTCCTCAAACTGATTCCAGTAGTAGAAAGTCACTTCCAAGCTTGGCTTGCTTGAGAGGAAACCCTGCAAATTTTCCCCGACATCCCATTGCTCTGAACGGGGTGATGGCAGTGGCTCAAGTGCCCATTCTCAGCCCAATCCCCAGAACAGAGAAATATTCTGCACCAATGTCTTAGGGCTGGTGAACTAGCAACCGGCAAGGGAAAAGGATTCCACACAGTTGTCCGAGACAGATCAGGGCTCACCCAGCAATTAGGGCTTATTGATTTGGAGCAACTGTACATAGACCAGAATAAAGGGCTATAGGGTAGACACAGATTTTTATTTCCCAATTCTCAGTCTTCTGTACTACCTATTTTTAAGAAATAATGTGCATTTTCATGTGTTTGACTCAGGATTTTAACAGAAATAATATGAACAGAGGGTGTACTCAAAGGATTTAATAAAGAGCCTTTCATGAAGGGACAATTTATCAAGGTGTGAGCAAGGTAAAAGGGACAACAATAAAAACAGTGGCAAGCGTGAAAGGACCAGGAACAAAGGGACTTCTCCTACTCCAAGGGGACACAGGGCCCCAGAGAAATAGTGCACTAAGAAGTGAGGCCCTGTTTCAAAAAAGCAACTCTCTCTCTCTCTTATATATATATATATATATATATATATATATATATATATAATATATAATTTTTTTTCTCACAATATTGGAGCTTCCAGTCCATGTTTAGTGGCCAGTTGTTTTTGGCTGTGGTGAGGAGCATGTGCCAGAGGAAGCCTCACCATACGGCCAAGAAGTAAAGAGAGAAGCAGAGGAAGGGGAAGGGAGCGCTGAATCCTAAAGGGGTTCCTCCGGTGACCCAACTTCATCCCAGTGGGCTGGGCCTCTTAAAGGCTCCACCACCTTTGGGGAACACTTATCCAAACCATAACAATAACTTTATATAAATTTTTTTAAACTGTGGGAAATCCTGTCGTATGTCATAAGATGAATGAGCCTTGAGGATATCGTACTAAGTAAAATGAGCCAGCCATGAAATGACAAATACAGTGTACCTCTACTTTTTAAACCGAAATAGTTAAATTCATAGAAACAGAAAGTAGAATGGTTGGTAGGGTCTGAGGAAAAGGAAAATGGAAAGTTGGAATGGGTAGAGACTTTCAGTGTTTCAAGTTGAGAAAATACTAAAGATTTAGAACTTTTGTGCAGTACTCTTTAAAAAAAATTTTTTTTACAGTGTTTAACATTACTGAATTCACTGAATTTAACATTACTGAATGGAACTCACTCACTGTGAGTTCGATCCCTGGTACCGATAAAAACGAAAGAAAAAAAAAAGACAAAGAGAAATGTAAATTACAATAACAATGAACTGCCTCTATACACTTTGTAGAGAAACCAGAATCCATTGCAACTATTTTAAGTGTACAATTTAGTAAACATTTCTCTATGAAGTATGATGTGGCACATCTTTTCTTGGGCTTATTTCTCATTGTATATCTTCTTTGGTAAGATGTCTTTGTTAGGTCTTTTGCCTATTTTTTATTTGGCTTATTTATGTTCTTATTGTTGAGTATTATGAATTCTTTGCATATTTTAGAACTGAGCTCTCTGTTAGATATGTCTCTCACAAATATTTTCTCCCAGTTTAAGGCTTGACTTCTGATTCTTTTAATAGTCTTTTGTAGAAAGTTTTTAGTTTTAATGAAATCTAGCTTGTAAAGTCTTCCTTTTATTAAAGAAGCGGCAAGAACATTCATTCATTCCTAGCAGAATGCAAAATGGTACAGCCATTTTGCCATACAGTTTGGTAGTTTCTTACAAAACTAAAAATAACCTTACTATAGAGTCCAGAAATTACACACTTTTGTATTTACCCAGAGAAGTTAAAAACCTGTATCTACACAAAGGTCTGCACAGGGGTGTTTAGGGAAACATTACTCATAATTGCCAAAACTTGGAAATAATCAAGATGTCTTTCAGTGGGTGAATGAAAACCCGAACTGTGTTATATCTACACAGTGGAACACTCGGCACTCGAAAGGCATGGAGGAACTTCAGATACACGTTACTAACGGAGCCAATGTGAAAATTACATAATGTCTTCTCCAATCCTGTGACATCCTGGCAAGGGCAAGACGACGGAGACACAAGACTTACCTCTGGTGTGGGCGGAGGCAGTGATGCGTGGGTAGCGCCCCAGGATTGCGAGGGCCGTGAAATTACTCTGCTTGTACAGTCACGGTGGATATTTGTCTTTATTCACTTGTCAAGGTTCATAGAATGTACAACAAGAAGATTACACCCCAATGGGAGCCATCGGGTCTGGGTGATAATAATTCATCAATATAGTTTCACTGATTATAACTTACGTAAAATTTATAGGAGATTGTTGGCTTAGACTGAGCTACTATGCTAGGCTGCCAATCTTATTTTGCCTAAAGTTTTTCTATTATTATAAGAGTGTACTACTCTGGTGCAGGATTTTAGTAGTGGGGGAAGTTGTATGAGTGAGGCAGAGGTGGCTGGGGTGACTCAGAAGTCCCAACACCTTCTGTTCAGTTTGGCCATGAACCTAAAACTGCTCTAAAAATAAAGTTTACTTTAAAAATAGTTACCATGGAAAGTATTCTTGTATTCTTTCTTAATCACAGTTTTAAAAAGTGTAAATCTTTTCTTTTATCCTGTATCCATCAATGAATGGGCAGAAAAACAAAATTTATATTTCAAGGAATATTAGTCAGCCTTGAAGAGAAGTGAAGTTCTGATTCATACTCTAATAGGGATGAATCTGAAAAATTTAGGCAAAGTGAGATAAGCCAGACAGAAAAGAAGAGATACCATATGATTCTGATGATTTGAGCACCTAGAAAGGCAAATTCATAGAGATGAGGTAGAAAAGAAATTACCATGGACTAGGTGGAGGAAACCATGAAGAGTTACTATTTACTGAGTGTAGATTTTCCCAATTTTAGAAGATAAATAAATTTAGGAGATGGGTAGTGGTGATGGTTGTACAACGATCTGAATGTACCTAATGCCACTGAACTGATGCTTAGTTATATGATATATATTTTACTACTTCTTTTTTTTTTTTACTAAAAAAAAGATTAAATGCATAAAATAGCAATACACAACAGTGAACAGAAACTGAAGAACAGGTAAACCTAATCAGAGGTGAGAGTAGAGTAAGAAATGCAGTTGTGGGCCGGGGGCCTGCCTGGCAAGTGTGAGGTCCTGAGTTCGATCCCCAGTACCATAAATAAAAAAGAAGAGCAGTTGCCTCCATGTATGTACGTGTGAAAGAAACAAATAAAGTGAAAACACTGCCTGTCTCCAGGGCTTTGAAAAGGGAACAAGTTGGGTAGTGGGAGCCAGCAAGGACTGGAACGGTACTTGTTTTAGGAAGGAGAAAATCAAATGTATTGTTAGTTTGAGGGTCAGATGGAGGGGGGAAGGATGTCAGTGCAAGAGGGCCAAGAGACAGCCGACATCCAGAGAGGACGCAGCAGGGAGAGGGGACCCTGGGAAGGCCGGGGGACCTTCTACCTGTGGGAAGAGATGGGACGGTGAGCAGCGGGGAGGAAGCCAGCCAGGATGGGAGTCCCTGGTCCTCCTGCACACGCTGCACTGGCCGGCTGCCTCCTGCTTGTCGCCCATCACCCAAATCCTGCGCATTCTAACCTCTCTGAGACATTTCTCTCTTGAGAACAGAGCTCTAGCCGTGAAGTGTTTTAAAAAACATTTCTATGGAGACATTTTCCATCTGAATATATATTTGGTTAAAAGGCTTCTAAGGTTTATTCAAGATACAATGTTTTGTTTTAGCATGAATGGGAATCCTACAATAAATTGACTGGAATGTAAGTGTGTTTTCAGTTTCCTGTGTGTCCTGAATTTAATAAATGCAGCTAAGAAGTTACACCTAAAATTTTGTTGGTGAAAGAGTACTACCTGCTTTCCTCTCAAAAGTTCTGTGTTTTTAAGTGAAAAATTTCCTTTCATTCTATAAAGAAAATCGATTTCAGACTTAAATAGCTGAAGGAAATACATTCACGTGTGCTTGATTTATCAAAATTTTGTTAGGAGGCAAATAATGGGAACAAGTCCCTTATGTAGTGCAAAGAGTGAAGATTTCATTCTGCATTTCTTATCAGCCATAATAAGAGCCTGAGATGGCTGTAAGATGCATAGTCTCACTAACTTGGGAGAGAAGACCCTGGCTGCATGGCGTGCAATATTATAATAGAAGTCTAGTTATAAAACTGCTTCATCAAAGGGATTCAGAAAAGCTCCTTTCAAAGAAACACACAGGCAATTCAAAAGGCAGAATTATGAGTGGCCAGTGTGTGGGGTAAACTTGAAAGTGCTATTAACATCCAAAAGATTAAAATGACACATCCCATTCAATTAGCAAGATTTGTAAAAGTCGTGTTTAAAGCTAAAGTGCAACGAGAGATTTCGGGATTGTTTGTAGAATACAAATTAGTTTAATTTTTCTAAAAGCATTAGAAAGATGGTATCAAAAGCTTTGATAATGGCCATATTTTTTGAATCAATAATTGTAGTGCTGCGAAGGAATTCAGAAAAGTGGATAAAAGCTTTCTCACACAATGATATTCACTGCAATGCTAATTATGCTAGAAAAAAGGTAGAAACCCCTCAGTGTTTATATACAGATTTTTTTTTTTTGAGACAGAGGTTAGCGGTGTAGTTCAGGCCGGTCTTGAACTCACTAGGTAGCCCAGGTTGGTTTTGTGCTCATCATGATCCTCCTGTAATCGGTGTGTCTCCTGAGTGCTGGGATTGTAGGTATATGCCACAATGCCCAGCACTTTCAATTAGGAAAGATGCATGTTATTATATAACTTTTACAGCCATTTAAAAGATTTTTGAAGACTTTTTAATGATGTGGAGAAAATGATACCTAATGGTAAGTGATTCGATGTTATTTTTACTGTGTTTAAATATGTATATGTATAGAAAAAGACTATAAAGTATCAGAAGTTATCTTCAGGTGGCAGGGTTTTCGTGAGTTTTTCCTTCCTTACTCTACATTTTTTTGGTAACAACTAAGTATTATTTTAAAAATCTGAATTTAAAGTCTGTGTATTTTTTTGGTATGTGTTGCGTTATTGTTTTAGCACTAAGGATTGAACCTGTGCTAGGCAAGCTCTTTGCCACTTAGGTATATCTGCAGCTCTGGTTTGTTTCTAAGATGAAACTAAATTGCCTAGACTGGCCTCAGACTTCCAAACTTGTGGTCCTCCTACCTCAGCCTCCTGAAGTTCTGGGATTACAGGCATGTAATCCTGCTCTTCTTGGGCATATTTTGATAATAAAAGAAAGTTCTCTTTAATAATTTTTCATAATGGCTAAATACCTGTACTCTCGTAAAATCTAACGCATTTACTAAACAATATTTACTAAAGCTCAGCATGTGCTGGTAATACACCTGGGCACAGGCTGCCTTTTCGTGAGCTGACATATAGTGTATTTGTGTTGTAAGCCACCAACCAGGCAGCTTAAAGCAATATAAATTAATTTTCTCACAATTCTGGAGGCTAGACATCCACGAGTAAGATGTTGATATGGTTGAATCCTTCTTTACCTCGCCTCCTGGCTTTCCGTGTGTATCTGTGTCCATATTTCCTCTTCTTATGGCACTAGTCATGCTGAATTAGAAACCATCCTAATGATCTAATATACCAATACTTCAGGAGAGACTGTCTCTAAAGATAGCTACTTTGTAAGGGGCTGAGAGTTAAGATTTCACATTATGACTATTGGGTTGTTATATCTCAGCCCATCAGTTTGCATAAAAAAGAAGGGCTAGAAAGACTAAGAAGAAGGGTGAACAGTATTCTTGAACTTTGAGCAGTATTGTTAATTTCTAGAAAACAGTGTTATGCTTAATTCTGTACTTGCTGGTTTCAATTTTCTTTTTTTCAGTGTACTTGTATATTTTTAGTTTTATTTAACATAAACAAGAATGAAACAAATTTTCATCTAGTTACAATGGAATACAAGTAACATTTGAAATTTAGCTTCTTTTCAGAGTGTCAGAGATTGAGTATTTATTATTTGATGCCTGATATTACAAACCCATTCATTTCATTTCAGGGAACAGACTGGGGTGTGAATTGATACCTGCTGAGTTCTCAGATGAGTTGTCATGAGTGTCAAAAGGGACTTGGCTGGCTCTGAATCTCGGAAGCTGTAAACAAACAGAAATTTGGGGAATAAATTGTACCAGGGTAATAACTTCTCTATTACTTGTTTGCACTAATAGTCAAAGTTCAGAAGAAGCAGTCAAAGTTTTTTAATGGTACTATATATAAAGAGTCTAAATTAACAATCTGCTTCCTATAAACCTTTACTTGGTTGGTCTCAAATTCATCTCATGTGCCAGATGATAAACATATTCATTAAAAATAAAATAGATCCATTCCAAGAAAAGATAGCATTTTGCATAATCACTTGAGAAGCAGTACAAAGCTGGACTAGTCGTGTGATTAGGGCCCAGGCACTGGAGAGAGCTTCATCACTTCCCCTTCCCAGGAGGATGGTGGAGATGAAATGAGTGAACTTTCTGAGAATGCGGACAGTGGCTCCTGCTGCAGAACAATGTGAGTGATATCGAGGCCTGCTCTATTAGACTTTGCAGTGCTGACTTCTGTCTTTGATGGGCTCCCGCCTTCTTGTCATCTTCCTGCTTGCTTAGCTCCCGACTTAGCTCCATCAGTGACCCAAGGTCCACAGAGGCAACAGTGAGTACTCAGTGACAGCTTTGACTCCTTTTGTTGATGACACTTTAATAAGGTAAACACTTTCATCTACTTAAAGCTCAGTTTCTGTCTTTGGATCCAGCCAATTGCAGTGATTCTCTTTGCTATGGTTGCAAAATTAAAACTTTGGGAGGATCTTTTTAGTGTTCTTGCAGTTAACTTGTAAGTACCTCTTATTCTTTTGCCTTCCCCCAAGTCATCTGTGAATAGTTCTTACAGCACAGTTACACTCTTTGCGAAACACACACACACAGTAACCCTCAAGTATTGTACACATCATATTGCACATATTGTACATATGTCTATATGTGTACCTACATATACATGCATGTACATATGTATTTTTTCTTAAAAGTTACTGTGCTTGGATCATGAGATTTAGTTTGCTCCAACACTCTTAACTGTGTGATTGCTCTTCCCAGTATGCAATGCCTTTATTCCTCTTTTATTAAAAAAAAATTGAACTTCTATCCTCTAGAAACTTGTCCTTCCTCTGACATGCCCCTTAATACTTACTTATGCTGTGCATTGTGTTCATTTTTTATTATGAATTATTTCTTGAAAATGTTGTTGTGTTGCTCTGTTAGATTATAGACTCATTGGCAGTAAAGCAGATGCTCTTAAATTCTCTCATAGGTTATCCTGCTATTTTAGAATGTATTCTAAGTATGACCTGCGTTAATCCTTTTCATGATCCTCCCCCAGTTACTCCTCCCTGCTTTGTAAACCAGCAGTTGTTGCTGGTTTCTCTGTTAACACTGACCATCTAAAGTGCTTTCTGTTCTCTTTTATCTTATTTCCTCAAGTACTCCTGATATTTGTTCTGTTTTTTTCTGTCACGTAGTTAATTTATGTCTGTGAAATTAAAAATGTTTCCTAGAGTATTTAAAAGGGAAAAACTAGGCAATATGCCTCCACTCCAAGTAGAACTGAGCTCGTCCTCTTTATCTGATTACTTCAGTGTTCTTTATCAGAATGCCTCATGCATCTTTCACTTACTTCTATCAGATTGTAAGACTATGTCCTATTTGTTGTAATAATCTTTACCTCTTGGTCCAGTGCTTGCAACACAGCAAGTGTTCAATAAATGTTTAGTGAAAAAAATCAAAGACTGAACAGAGAGATTTATCCATGAAAATAGTAATGCTTGTACTGAGCTCTTCCGTTTTCTGAAAACCTACCTTTAGACAAATGCTGCGAAGTGTGTGGGCACCAGAGCCAGATGGCATGATTAGTATCGCAGCTCTGCTACTTCCTGGCTGGTTACAAGGGTAAATTATCTCTGAAGCTGATCATCACATCAATGCATATAGAATCCCACAGGTTTGTTGTGAAGGGTTTTTAAAATTTATTTTTCATTAGCGCATGTTTGCAGTAGGTATTATTTACATTAATCATAGGCAGTAGATACATATATTTTGAATATCTGAGTTCTTTTTATCCCTTTCTCTTCCTCATCCTTCCCTCTCTAGATTTCCTTCCTATTTGCAAAAGATCTACTTCCCTGTTTCTCATTTTCTGTCTTTTATTTTGTTGTTTAAATAATTTATGCTTCAGATTTGTAGTATTTATGTGTAATGGAGGATGTTACAGACATTTAAGAACTTAGCTGTTGTGATTAATAAAAAAGAGCATTTAAATTGATATTGATATTCACTTTTATAAAGAGACCAGGAAAACTACAGTCAAACTGCTGCTACCACTCACACCTATCGAACATTCAGTTCTCCAAAGGCTATGGACAGTTCATCGGTCAGCATCAGACCAGGGCTGAGATGGGAGCAGTGGACAGTCAGAAACATCAGAATGTAGAACCTTCTTCATAATTACATTTTCATTTCAAGAATTGTGGTTAAAAATATGTGTAACAGTCAAGCTTTGTGGCTCATGCCTGTAATCGCAGCACTCGGGAGGCTGAGGTGGGAGGATCGCTGCGAGTCCGAGACCTGCCTGGGCTAGAAAGTGAGCTCAAGGCCAGCCTGAACTGCATAGGGAGACCCCATCTCAAAAAAAGACAAAAAAAAAAATGTGTAACATAAAATCACTTAACCATTTTAAAATATACAGTTCAAACAATGTATAAACAGTAAGTACTTTCATGTTATGGTACAACTGTTACCACTATCTTCAAAGTATCTTTCGCCTTGAAACTCAGCATCATTAAGCAAGACTCCGGCCCCTCTTCTTCTGGTTCCTAGCAATCATCTCTTTGCTTTCTGTTCTGTGAATCTGACTACCTCTAGTGTAATCAGAATGGTGTTTGTCTAAGCTGCATCTAGCTTTTTGTGCCTACTGTGTCTTCAAATTTTATCCATGTTGTGGTGTTTGAATTTCCTTTCTCCTTAAGGTTGAATATAATATTTTAATAATGTAAAACATTTCCTTTCGATCACTCTGTGGTCAGGTATTTACTGTTTTTAGTAACTGTAGCTGCAGCTATGAAAAATCAAGTTCAGCCTTTATAAAGTTATCCAAGTTGTCTTGAGGCCTTAAATAACAATTGAAGATTACCCCCAAATATATACCAATGCAGTGCCTAAAGAATTCAAATTAAAAATATATTTTTTCTATAATCAAAGACACATGTATTTTAAGATTCATTTAAGATTCTGTTTCAGAAGTAAAGAAAAAAATTGCTCAAATGGGTGATTTTGTTGTTGTCCACCAGCAGTGATTACATCATCTTGTAACCACAAAAGGAAAAACCATGTATTTCCTTGATAACGTTGAGAATGAGCTGGCAAGGGATCCCTGCCTGAGGATGGGCGTACAGATGACATGAAAGATGTTCTAACCTGCCAAGCCTCGAGTCAAACCCTTAAAACTGTTTCTTTCCCAATAATTGGTAACACTTTTAAATTGCAAAACTGGATCAGGAAACTTCTGGCAAGTATTTTATTTCAGACAGGAAGCTGCTAATGAGCAAAGCAGTGAGACATCAGGGAAATAAAGGGGGCAAAATTACATATAGCAATCTTGGTGGTTTAAAATGTATTTTTCAATATGAAGAACTCTGATAACAAGCCTGGGAGATTCACAGGGTATAGATGTTCCCTTTTCCTTTAAGAGAAGGAAGCTTTAAATTGAATTTTATTTTATTACCTCAGGTAGAAGAAACATTTTCACATTTATTATTTATGCCTTGCCTCATGCAAAAATTATGTGAGGCAACTGAGAGAATATTAGAGAATGTAATTTAAGAATAGAACAGAATTTCTCTAGCTTATCTTTTGTTGTTCAGATACTGACCTTTTCTCTGAAAATATTAAGAGAAGCTCTAACAAAAAACACAAAGCTGCTAACTGTGGGGAAATAGGTTAGCAGCTTCTGAGATGACAGTGGCTGTGGCTGGTCTGCTGGGGTTGGTCAGTTGAGCTTGTCATAATTAGGATTTTCTTGGCCTGTAAATAAAATAGCCATATGCTCTAGATTTTCTGGGGCAACTCCAATTAAAATATTCTTTCCTGTTGTCAGACCATGTGTCGGACCATGTGTTGTAATATTTTTATGCAAAATATAGTCAGCTTACCCCATCAGTTTCCCTGTTGGTCTTCCCTTTAAGGTACCTCAGAGGCCTCTGTGCGGGTCAGGATCTGTGTCCCACCAGTTGTGTAAGATGCAGCCCTGTCTATGTAGTCTAAAATCCTCATCTCAGCTCATTGATCATCTCCTACCTCCTCCTCCACCTACAGTGTTACTCTCGGCCTCTCATTTAATTGCATACCTCATATATTGTTCTTATCACTACACATAAGTTAGTTTCATCTCAAAACAGCGCTGAACCTTTCCGACAGTGTTCACTGATCCTTGCGCAGTGCTGCACATACCAGCTCTATCTTTATTTGTCTAGCTAGGTAGCTAGCTTCTCATCATTATTTTTTCAAAGGTGGTGTGTGTGTGTTGTTCAACGCCCTGAACTATTTTGAAAAAGTCTCTACCACAATCCTGCAATAAACCTATAAACAGTTTTGGTTAAACTCTCCCCACAGTGTAGTCAGAATTAAGAAGTGTGTATTCAGATTTTTACTCTATAGTATTTGAATTGAACCATGGTGGTAGGTAAAACCCAGACAATGATTTCTAGAGGAAAAGGTAAATTTTATGACTTTTCCTGATTGTCCTAGACATAGTCACAGAATGCTATCGTTTCTTTTTCTGTGCTTCTCTTCCTACATTTCCTCACTATGGTTAGCCTCCTCAGCCCTGGTTCTGTATACTCCAAACATTTGCTCCATGGGAATCACTGGCAAGGTAGGCTCCGTTAGATTTAGTGACTTCTGTCAAATCTGCATCCCTGCTGTTTTTCTGCCTTCTCATCAGCAACACACAAGTAGGCAGAGTGTAAAACCTGGGATGAGGAAGCAGGAGAGGGGAGTCTGCGGAGATATGGCAACATCAGGAATTGGGGACTTTTCCCAAAGGAGACTGTAGGCCCAGGGTGGGGATTGGAAGGATGCTGGCAGTTCAGATTTCAGAGAAGCAAAGTAGCAGGACTCTTCGAATCAATTTTTATGGAACATCTTTAAAGCCATTTATTGTCACCACTCACACACTATCTTTTCTTTCCAATTTCTTTTGGTATTAATTTTTTTTCTCAGGAATTGGAATGTTTAAGATTATTCTGCCAAATTGATACATTTAACATGTTAGATTTATAAAAGTTATTTAAGTATTTCAGGGGAGCCTTTACTCATTAGATGATGTTTGCTCTGAAGACACTTGAAACATTTAAAATAAAAAATCAGGCTGGGCATGGTGGCTCATGCCTGTAATCCCAGCACTGGGGGGAGGTGGGGTGGGCTGAGGCAGGAGGATTGTTGCAAGTTCGAGATCAGCCTGGGTTACAAAGTGAGCTCAAGGCCAGCCTGAACTGCATAGTGAGACCCTGTCTGAAAAAGACAAAAAATAAAAAGAAATAAAAAAATAAAAGATCGATTGTCATAAATGCAATATAAAATATTTCATGAGATTTAATCTTCCAAGTTTGTAAATAGTACTGATTTTTATATTTAATTTAGTTTAACATAGCTCACCAACTATTAATCAAAGAAAAGAGAATTATTCTTAATTTGCTTAGAAGATTAGTGATTCAGCCTCAAGAACAATTAGGCATGTCATTCTGCAACTTTATTTTTTATCCTGGGAATCAAACTCTCAGCCTTGTGCTTGCCAGGCAGGCACTGTGCTACTGAGCTAGATCCCTGGCCCTCATTTTGTAACTTTAAAAATAGAATTTAATTTGTGATCCCAGTGAATGTAAAAAGTTTATTGTATTTCTAAAGATTTCTTTCCTGCCCAAGCCATAAAAACAAACCTCTGACAATATCAGAATAGACTCAAAGTAAAAGTAAATAACATTATATTTCCCACAATCTTTTTGCTTTTATAGAGTACTGAAATTTCTTGAATATAAATCATTCACAAAATCTTTCTTCAATTTAAGGAGAATTATTGGTACTTTTTGAATCTCCTATTAAATAAAAAGTTCCTTCAGATATTGGATATGTAATACACAATCCCTTTGTATTATAGAATGGAATTTGTTCATATGGCTTATAAATGATCTGTGTTAATCCAAGCCTATCAGTAAATAAATAACAGAGAGTAATGGAGATTCTTCTATTAGCTGGAAAAAAATCAGACCTTGCACCCTCTCCACCCATCACTTTTCTTAGGGACAATCCAGGTTTAAAAAACTTGTTATGCTGCGGACTCAAACACAAATGCAAAGCCTACTTTCTTCTGTAGTGGGAAGCTGAAGATGTGAATTGCTTTTTTCTCACTTCTGCACATCTGTTCACATAAAACTGCAAGTGAAACCACTACTGCGCAGGCGCCTTGACTGTGTAAGTGTCCCGCCAGGCTCCGGAGTGTCCTCCAGGCGCTGGCACACCTTCTTCTACAGTGTGCTGTGCATTACAAAACCTGCCATAGTAGATGACCTGTACCATGGCTTGTCATGCCAATCCCACAGAGCCGAGGGCTGTGCACTTTTAAAATTTGCTTTGGCAGTTTCGTGCTATTTACAATGTTGTAAAGAAAAGTTATCTACAATAGTATTTTCAAGTTTAATTTAATTGAAGAGTACCCTATGATTGCAGGCAAATTGTAAAATGCAAAACAAAAGTTGCCCCATGCAAGTATAATTTAGGAGAATAAAGATTTTATTACTATTGTGCAACCAAAATAAAACTCAGAAATAAATTGGAAACTTGGATTCTAGAACTAATGCAAGATGCAACTGTCTTTCATAACCTCAGGGTTAAAACTTTTGTATTTACTTAAGCAGCCTTTTGTATGTTTTTATAGACTCTATTATAATACATACTACATATTAAAAGTTATCAAATAAACTGTCCTAGGAAGATCAGGGTTTTCTCCCCTGCCTGAGGCTATTGGGACTTCTCATAAGATTTCATTTGTAGAAAAGGTTCCCTGCTAAGGAAAGCTCGAAAGCCCTCTGATTTATATCAAGCTGGTTTTCCTCAGAGATTCCATTTCTTCTTCTCTCTCTTTTTTTTTTAACATAGCCAATCAATATTCCTGAAGGATTTTTAAAAATATTTCTTCCCCTTTTTAATAATCTATAAGATTCTTTTTGGACTACTAAATTAGAGTTAGTATTTTGGGCCTGGCTTTCCAGGAAGTTATAACCTGACCCTCCTCGAACTTTCCAAATATGCTTCCCCTGATCACCACCAGATCTCTTGGTGAAGGACAGGTGTGGCGCCTGATATCTCGCCTGCTTCTGACATACGCTGCGAATCCTCCTGCACCAAGGTATTGCTAAGCTCTTAGAACTGTGTCTGAGACGAAGCCCATGGGCCATCTGCTGCGTTCCGGTGAGGTCTGTTTCCTCACTGTGTCCCTTATGTGCCCTGAAAATTAGTTCATTATGTCTTTAAATCTGGGACTTTCCCCCCTCTCTTCACCTACTCTAACTCCTTATTCTTCACAGACCATGTACCCGCGAGCCCTTGATTAGCATCCTGGGTTCACAATGATCTCTTCTTCCCACGGGTTTGTAATTTAATTTTGCCCAAGTACTTTCTTTGTTCTGTGGTCTTTCCACCATGATCACAGGTTCTACATTTTTAAAAGAAATTTATGAGGACGGTAGGAATCTGTTCCTGAAAGGAGAAAAGAATGCTTACTGTGATTATGGCCTTGACTTTTGTCTCGGTTGTGTGGTTCACTGGTTCCATCCTTCTAACCAAACCATTTAAACTTTGGTAGTCTTGCTTTTTCCTTTGTGCAGCGGATAGTAATCTCGGCTGTATTTTAAAATAGGACTGTCCCAGGTGGAATGGTCTTGCTGTTTGTTTTGGGCAGCTGCTCACTGGAGTCCCCCTGGGTGGAGAGATGGCTATCAGGTCGCAGTGGAGAAGCCATGGGAGCCAACCGTCTGCCGGGAGGGACTGGTGGCTGTCTCAGTTTCCTTTCCACATTCTCTCCCCAAGTGACGTCTCTAATCCTGAGGGCTTTCGGTGCTTTTTTCATGAGTGACCTCCACATGTCTGGGGAAGTCTGGAGTTCTCTAATAACCTTCATTGCTGTATATAAAATTGAATCTTTCTTTTCTCACATTCTTCTCCAGTTTAAAATATCCAAACCAGACACTCACCACCTCACCTCTACACTTCCGTCTGAGTCATATCTATGTGTGCGAGTGTGTATGGGAGGCCCAGGAGGTGGGTGCTGGGAACTGAACCTGTACAGCCTTGCACACGCTAGGCAAGTGCTTTACCATTGAGCTCCATTTCTGATGCAAGGCCATATCTAAACTGTTCCTCCTGTATCCTGTCGCATTTTTAGTGAATGATAGATTAAGTTGGGATCTGAGAACCTCTTTTCTATACTTCTCTACGTCCAATTTATCATTAAGCTTTATGAAGCCCATCTCCTAAGCATATCACAAATCTTCTATTTACTGATACTACAGTTGTCTGAGTTACCCCTATTCTTTGATGGGACTACTGCAGAATTCTAACTGGGCCCTCCATGTTTTGCTGACTGCCTTTGAACTCACTTTGTATTCCAAGGTGCCTCAAACTCAGGATGATCCTCCTGCCTCAGCCTCCTGAGTGCTGAGATTACACGCACACACTACCACCTGGATCTTATCCTTACATTTTACACTGAAAAAAGTTCAAATTACTTCAAGTGGGTAGTAACAGCCTCTGTGATATGTCCCTGCTACCTCCCCAGGTTCATTTCATGAGTTTCCTGCTCTCTGAAATCCATTTCACTCTGTCTTGGGGTTTCAGATACTTACACACACTCACCTTTTCTCTATCTTTTGTCTGACAACTTTGTTCCATCTTCTCTAGATAATTCCAAGCTCCATTTAAAGCATCAGAAAAGCCTTTCCTGATCCTAAAGTTTATAGCAGTCCTTAGCACGAGATGCAAGAGTAATTTTATTTGTTTGATTATTTGTGTACCTGTTATCTCCACTAACCTAGCACCTAAGGGGCACAGTGAAGTTTAGGACTGAGTGACTGGTAGGGTCATGGGAGAAACTGTACTCTGAAGTTCTCTTCTCTTGTCTCCCATGAATATCCCTCTTGTTGTGCTGGACAAACATCACCAATTTCTACCTTTCTAGTTCTTTCACTCCTCTGTCCTTCTAATAAGTCCTCATGATTGTGTTGCTTCTTACAGTCAAATTGCAATACCGTTGACTGGGTAATAGAAATGTTCCACTAATGAAACGGTAATCACACACCACACACATTTTTTCAGATCTTTATCATACTGCATGGTGTTCTAAGTGCCACACATGTATATTATCTCATTTAATCTGGAAGTCTGGGCCTGAAGATGCACCCTGCTACCTGCGACCTTGATTGCATGGGGTGGTTTCTGAAGTTGTATCAGCAGCAGTTTATATCCAATTCATGACTGAAGGAAGGGGGCTGAAGACAGGCTTTTTAATGTTAGGTTTTGGTAGTTCCATCTTAAGACTGTACTCTTTTCATTACATTAACCTCAGAATCTGGGAACTTTTGCCATATTTTGCCTTTCACTGACTTTAATTCTTATAGGATTATTGAGACAGACAACAGATAATATTGACTAGTATTTGTTGGATGCTTGCTTTACGTACTGTAAATACTTGAAACACTAAAAGAACTCAGGGTAGCTGGAGCTTCTTGCACAAGGAGGCAGGAGGGGTGCAGTGATGCTGGAAGACTAAGTCCCTATCAAAAAGCACTAGCTCCATCACAAGGGCCTCAGACGATGCACTAAGAATTTGATACCTTATTGGAAGGACCTTGGATATCTATTGAACAGCTTTGAAGACTGCATGGTTTTGAAAAGATTGCTCCAGCTGCGGTGAGAAAACATGATTAATAGGGAGGAGTCTCTCTCTTCATTTTGTGTTGTTGTGACAGATACCTGCAACTGCATCATTTATAAAGAAAATAAATTTACTTCTCATAGTGCTGGAAGTTAAAAATTTCAAGAGAATGGCATCAACGTCTGGCTTTGTGTTGTGTCATAACATCACAGAAAAAAAATTCATGAGCCAGAGTCAGAAACAAGAAGGGACCAGATCTGCTTTTATAACAACTCATTCTGGTGAAAATTAACCCATCCCTGAGACATTTAATTTCCTCTGAAGAGCTTAACCCTCTACTCTGAATGTTGTTACAATGGCAACTAAATTCAACACGGGCTGTGGAGGGGGACTTCAGATGACAGGCAAAGCTCATTTCAGTCTTCCAGGTGCAGGAAGGTTGAGCAGCAGCAGAGACCAGGAAGTGGATGGAGTCACCTTTCCATTTTGCCTGAAGCAATACAGAGGAGACTAGGTGACTGGATACAGAGGGTGAGAGGGGAGGAGTCAAGTTTTCTGTTTGAACAAAGTTTGATACTGGGAATAGAAATGGCTAAGAGAAATGCAAGTAGATTTGGGTAAGGTGACTAGCTGAACAACTGACTGAGTGTCAGGTGGCTCCTGAAATACTAGACGTGGCTAGATCGGTCAAGCAGCTGAATTATAAAGGTCTGAAACAGCAAAATGTAGTTGGCTACAGACTTCTTTATACTAAATGGACAATTTTCAATTTTATTATTTCCAGAATTAAGATATATATAACATTTCAACCTGACTTAAAAAAAAACAGAATTAAGATATGTCTTAAATTAGTTTATTAAAAAATATTTTTCTTTTGAATATTATTAATGATAAACTGTAATTGAATTTTATAGCATATTCTACAGCATGAGAATAGTCTACACAAATATAATTAATTTTTACTTAATGGTATGTTGTGAAATTGGAGAATTTTTTAAAGCATTTTTTCGTCTTGAAGAGAAATATGTTTAGCCAAGGTAAAATTTAGTACAAGCACTGAATTTTAACAGAATTGCCAAATTGGTAAAGTCCAACTTAATGTGACTTTAACATAATTATTAGGAAGTTTGAAGTGTTTGCTCTTTTCAAGTAAGTCCAAGTCATTGCCGCCTTCATCTCTGCCTCCAACACAATTTTGCTTTACACCATTGAGTTTATTAGCAGTCTCTGTCTACATATTGCAAAGGTATGCTTTGTCAACCTTGAATAGAATAATGTGCCTTAGAATTACAAGAATTTAAATTAATAGGGTTTCACTGTAGCGTGTTTACTTCTTTTTTTTTAATTGTCTTTTTGAGACAGGGTCTCGCTGTGCAGTTCAGGCTGGCCTTGAGCTCACTTTGTAGCCCAGGCTGGTCTCGAACTCGCAACAATCCTCCTGCCTCAGCCTCCCGAGTGCTGGGATTACAGGGGTGAACCACCACGCCCGGCTGCATGTTTCCTTCTTTCCTGTGCATCAAATGGTGAATCTGTTAGTGATCAT